GCGACACTGAGGGTTGCAATCCGTTGCCGGACATGAAAAAAGACAAAAAGGAAAAAAAAAAATAGAAATATACCTGAACGAAGTGCTGAGACCCTTGTAAGCTGAAATAAATCCTAGATTGGATAGACTGGATGAATTTGAGTGAACAGATTATTTCCATCTGCTGATTCTTCTTTTTGGTCTCCAATCCCTCTTTGGGGTCTGAATGTTTTGATTCTCATAGGTAAGAATAAATTATTAACAACTGTGTCTAAGAATTTCATTTCTCTCAAACATACTTTTAAATAAATAAGTATTTCTGTGTTTTACTGGATAATCCAAAAAATAGAGGGTGCACAATGGCTAATTCACCCTTGGAAGTTTCATGAAAGCACTGTGGAGAGAAAACTGTGTTACATGTATTTATACAACTCACTCTGCTATCGTTGTCATTAGAACATTTTGTTTGGGTTTTAAAATGCCAATGACATTTCTATTTTGTGTGCCCCTTCTGATGCCTGGTAATTTTGATTGATTTTCACAGAATCCATTTGACAAAAGATCCAAGAAGAGTTCTGAATGGCTTAGAATAAAGCATATATTCTCCCTCATAGTTTTCTGTTGCTTCTATAGTTAGTTACATGACAGTGAGAAATAACTAAAAACATTTCTAGATTTTGATATAAGTCCAAGTTCCATGGCATAAGTTATTTACATTTCAAATTTTGTTTGGGTAAAAATAAGAGTTTACTTAATTATAACTATTATCCCTGTTTTACTAGATTTTGATATAAGTCCAAGTTCCATGGCATAAGTTATTTACATTTCAAATTTTGTTTGAATAAAAATAAGAGTTTACTTAATTATAACTATTATCCCTGTTTTGTGTCTGATTTGTTATTAATGACATAATCTAAATCCACTGTATTTAGAATTCAGTTATCTGATATTATCAAGTTTGCTGGTTTAACGACAATTTTTTTTCTTCTCCAACACTTCTGACTTGCATCTCATCAGAGCCTTTTGAAGGGGGCTATCTGGTGTCTCTGTACATTCTTTTTAAAAAATATCTTTATTAAGATATAATTTATATGCCATAGAAATCACCCACTTAAAGTATATAATGTAATAGTTTTTAACATATTCACAGATATGTACAGACATCATTACAGTTGATTTTAGAACCTCAAAAATATCCTTTAGTTATCACCTCCCTCTCCTACCACCCCACCCTCTCTTCCCTAAGCAATGACTTTTACTTTGTCTTTATAGATTTACCTGTTCTGGACACTTCATATGAATGGAATCATATACTGTGTGGTCTTTTGTGACTGACTCCCTTCACTTAGCATAATGCTTTCAAGGCTTACGCGTGTTTCAGCATGTATTCTGTTTATTCCTGAATAGTATCCATTGTATGGCTATATCTCTATTCATTCTTCAAAGATCATTTTGGACAGTGGAGCTATGATACAATGTGTCACTTACCAACGCAGACTCGTCCATCCACGCCCACAGCCAGGCCTGGGGGACAGTCACAGCGGAAGGACCCTTCATTGTTGATGCAGTGCCCGTTCATGCAGATTCCTGGGGTCTGGCATTCATCAATGTCTGCTCAGGAGGTGAAAGAAGATGGGCCATTATTGGGTAAATTTAACTTCACTACAGAGTTTATTTGTTGCCAGTGCTCTATACTATCAACATTTTGTTTTTAACTTTATAACTTGTGGAAGAACACATAAATATGATATAAATATTATAACAGATCTTACATGTACATACAATCCTTTTAAACACATTTTCGGAAAGACTAACTGAATGAAAGTTGCTTTACTTTACCCATTAAGAAAAAAGAAAACCCCACAAACTCCTTTTTCATTATTTATTTGGCAACTCTGTTGAACATTAAATATTTAATACAAATTAGTTAAGTGAAACAAATTCTTAAAACAACTAAGGTAAACTTTTGTAATTTTTTCACACACAAAAAACTTTAATAACATTAAATGGCTTTCCCAAGAGATGAAACAGACTTTAAACACAGAGCTGCCAAATCATAAACATTTCAAGATTTATGGATTAAAACATTTGTAATAAGAAAATTAATTGAAAATAATTTCCAGAAAGCAGAAACTGGTGAGATCCAAGTCATCTTTACATGCGTATTTAAGTTTCTTAAGAAATGCTGAAACACAGTTACATGCTGTACCATAATGCTGCACACTGTTGCATAAAGCTAATCTCATATCCTGTGTTAAATCCAAGTCAGCTGACCTTGAGATGACACCCCAGTCATGAGTTCAATCAGCAAAGCTGCAAAATTTCCATTTAATCTTGGACTCCTCTTTCTTGAATAGTCAAAAAGCTATTTGTTATTCAGAAACACGAGAATCTAGACTTGATTTTTTCTCTCTACTGTCCCTGGAATTTCACTCAAATTATAGGGACTGGTTATCAGTCTTATTTGGTATTCAGATAAATTTGTGAAATTGAAGGCAGAAAGCATGTGAGTTAATTTTGTCCAAAAGGAGGAAACTGAAAAAAATAAAAACTTGAATCTGCGTAGGAACTGAAAGATGTATTCCATCTTACTAAGTTCCAATTGTGAGTATAAACATAATACAGTCTCATTTATTTCCAAGAGGCATATCATTTACTTAGTAAAGTTATCACTAGAGTGCGGCCTTCAAAATGGCTTCATAAACAAAACAATGATAGGAACATTCAAATAATGTCTTCACTAAATCAATGTAGAATTTCTATATAACGATACAGTTTCAAATGATCTGTAGATTAGCTTTATGGAAAAGAAGTAATGGTAAACCAGTAATGAACAACAGTGGAAAATTTAGTTCTGAGAACACATAAAAATGAAAATCTTCCAAGGTTTTTTTCTTCCTCTTTTTTATTCAGCCAAGGAGTAGAGAGAAATTATTTCTACACTGTCTCCTCCAGACTTGCTAAAACCATCTGTCATTCTTTTAATTTTTCCCATACCATTATTATTTTTGTAAAGATATTACTGTCCCCTAGATGACAGTGTGTGTTTTTCTAGGAAGCTTTAGACACCTGCCTTACTAAATTAGCGAGAGATGTGAATAATATGAAATCCACAGGAAGAAACTGAAGTAATTCTTGCATGGTTCATTCAAACAAAAAAGATGGTTTCAATCACAGCTACTTTCCTATCTCAAAGCCATACATACCAGTACAGTAACGCCCATTTGGAGCCAAGACAAACCCTGGTTTGCAGATACACTTGAAGCTGCCATCCTCATTGATACACATCCCATTCAAACACATGTTGGTGGTTGTACATTCATCGTGATCTGCAGAAGAGAGAGTGACTGTGACCACTGGCCTCGAGGGAACCAGTTCTCCTTACATGAACAATCCCCAAATTACACTATATAAAAATGTCATGTGCTAATGGATTTTTTCTTTTTCTTGTTTTTAAATATGAATGCCAGGTGAGTGAGAGAAAGTAGTATGAAGAGGAAGGGCCTTTCATATAAGAAACATAAAGGAAAAGAATTAAATAAATTTTGTGTTGAGCTGCTATTAAAACCTCATAAACCATAAGTAGTGTTTATTTTGAACACCAAAGAAGGTGATATGATTTCAGTGAGTGTTTCCTTTGTAAGAGAGAATAAGGCAATGACAAATCTCATTGCACATGGAATGATCTGGACTTTCATTGGTGAATGAAATTTAATGTGTTGCTGTGTGAATAGAATATTTCTGTGGAGTACTGGTATCTATGGCACTGCTAGACATCACCACACCCAAATTTGGAGATTTGTTTACCACATATGCCAAATGTTTTTATATTCCCACACATTGGGGGGATGGGGAGACCGTTTCTATCTTGTTGTTGTAACCCCAACATCTGAAATAGAGTAGGTGCTAATGATTATTTTAACTTACAAAGAATAACTGCTGCTTACAATTAAACATGTACCACACAGGAAATTTCCAGAAGCAGTAAATTATTCATTGTTATAACATTTCCAAAAAAATATGTTCCTTTGCTTTAATGGTCTTATGTTAAATGCATTTATATTTTACCAATCTAAGTTACTGGAAGAACTCACATATGTGGTATGTGAGCCTTCATGGAAATAGTATATATGGTTCTAAATAAAAATGTATATCCATTAAAAATCTTTTGCAAGAGAGCAGGCAATTTCCATACCAACACAGTTTTTTCCATCTGTAGTTAATTCAAAGCCGGCATTGCAAATGCACTGGAAACTTCCATCTGTGTTCACGCATCGACCATTTTTACAAAGAACCCCATTTTGGATGCACTCATCAATATCTGTAAAGATTAAAGATGGACAAACATTATTCTTTTACAATACTTACAGATAAAAATATTACTGCTTTATCTACAAAAACAGTCTATCTAACAAATGTAATTTTATATATCCAGTTGGTTTTTACATGAATATCCAAGATCATGTTGCTTCGTTAGCAAAATTTCCATCTCTCATCAGCTTTTCTCTTGAATTCGTAGGAGTAAGCAACTTTACAGCTGAAGAGAGAAAGAAAGAGAAAACGGGTTGTGCAGTGAGCCTCAGAGAGGGTGGGTAGTGCAGCTGGAATTACTGATGCAGCTGTTTTTGACATAGTGGTTGAAGACCTTAAAAGTCAGAACAAGATGTTAGGGAGGTGTAAGTACAGAATTTCTGGATTAAGAGTAATATGATAAAAACTGCTGGAGAAAGTTGTCCAAGCAACAACCTGTTGATGAATAGGAAATGAAAAAGACAAGCAGAGTCATCTGTTAAAAGAGTTGAGATGCATCAGCAGCGAGGCAGAGAGTTTGGACAGCAGTGGCGGGTGCAGCAGTGAAACTGCGAAGAAAGAATAGTCTCCATTTGGTGTGGGGCTCTGCGTGGGGCGTCAAAGAAAACAGTAGTTGGAAATGCCTATAAATCTTAAGCTCAGTTAACCAGAGAAGACTAATGCTGTTGTTACTTGAAGAAAGGAAGCTGTGATCTAGGAAAAGAAGATAAACTACATTTTTGTGAAGCCAGATACCATGTTGCCTGGGTTACATATGCAAATAGTGTTTACATGTAAAGGGAGCTCCTCCGAGGGTATCATAAAATAAATCTATAATAATATAACGGCACTTATTTCGTTCCATATCTTATTTTAGCGAATTTACTTTTAACCTCAACAGCCTTGGTCACTACGTTTCATAGAACAATTTCATATGTGAAAGCAAACTGCCTTACCGATGCATGCTTGCTTGGTAGGAGTCCTCTGGAATCCAGCATGACATTTACAATAATAGGATCCAGGTGTGTTAACACAATCTCCATTAGTGCAGGGATTTGATGTGCATTCATCAACATCTGTGAGCAGCAAAAGAAACCATTATAGACTTCACTCCGTTTGTAGAAATGTTTGTTTAAAGTACATTTAGTCCTTCCAAATTTGAGAGAAGGCCAGTCAGTGGTAATAGTCTAAATAGTGGAGTATTTATAAATGAATGAAAATTCCTTTCTTCAAGTACATACAGAGGCCAGTCTGAAGATTTACAAAAATACTGCCTATTGAAGAGTACAAGGAAATTTTGCTGTAATCAACAAATAATGATTTTTCATTGGAATAATGTCCAATGATTAAAAGCATGTGCTCTAAAAACAGACAACCATGAGTTCCAATAGGCTGTAATACTTATTTTCTATAGCCATCTGTACAAGTTCATAGCCTCTCTAAGACTTAGCATAGTGTCAGAAGAACAATGAAATGTTTTTGAAGATATATATCTTTATTACACGTTGTCACTACTACTAGTTTTAAAGAAAGAGATTGATGAAATATGAAATTTCTTTGTTACTAATTTTTTGTGAAGTCATCTATATACAACTATCATGCACTGAGGCTTGGATAATATTTTGAAGTAAAAAACATGGAGGAGCAGAAAATAAAATCTGATTGAAACAAAGAGTAATATTTTCAGTAGCTTCAGGTTTCTTTAGCATCTTAAAATTGGCGCAGGGATTTTTTGAGTAAAATGAAGTTTTATGCAAATACTAGGTCTGATGCAAAATGTGAGAAACTCACTGCTTTTCACTCAAGGTCTCCTAAGGCTTGGTTAAATGCAAACCCACTGCAGAATTCGGAGACCCTAGTACCAAGTGACAGACTGAGCAGTCGGAACTAGTCACATCCCAGAGACACCATGTGCCAGTGTAAGAGAAGTTTAATTCATCTCTCAGCAATGCCCACTAAATGTTATTTTGAATGCTGGCAAATTAAAAACCTGGATAGCTGGTGAGGGCATAATGATTTGCCATTTCATATACATGCAGAAGCCATTAACATATACAATTTCAACTAAATTGGAGAGCACAACAATAAAATCAATTCACAGGTTTACCACTTTAATAAACAGATTACTCCTTTCACAGATGTTCTTAAAAGAGGAACTGTATTCTATCAAACTCACCAACTTCATTTATATAAACACTGAGGCTGAATGCAACTAAGCCCTCTCTGGCAAAAGGTGGTGGGGGGTGGGGAGGAAGAACTCATAGTGAATAAAATGAAAACAACAATAACACGGTAAAAATGCTTTTTCAATTCACCCAAAGACCCCTTCAGTCCATTAAGATTCACTTACATTCAGACTTTTGGTTGATAACATCAATTCTACTGAGCCAAAGGAATGAAGCAAAATGAGAAAAGAGAATTTAGAGCATTAGCTAGTATACAAAGCATTATGAATGGACTTTCCAATATGAGATATCACCTTCAGTTTGCAGCACTGAAGATCACTTAAATTTTCTATGTGTACATAATTGAAGTGCAAGAGTTGAAAATGTGCTGCAGATGCAACTTCACAGACACCTCACTGTAAAGCTCTGTTCTAGTGAAGAATCTGAGAGGCCATACCCCCCGCCCCCTACCCCTTTTAGATAAACTTTCTGGAAAGCAGTGTCACTTTTCAGGACCTTTTTCTCCCCTTGAGAACATTCTCTCAAGTCTCCTTGTTGCTATGACAGCTCTGCCGGTTATTTTGCCATTACAGTCATAATTCATTTGTCTCCAGAGCCCCTTAGAGATCACATCAAGTGTCCAGTAAGTACATGGAGAAGATACAACAGTTCATTTCCTTTGTGCTCACTTCTCTGTTCTTCTTTGGAAATGAAAACAACCACCAAAAAACTATTACTGACGTTACAATTCCAAATGGCTTTAAAGCTTCATTTGTAGTTTTTTGTTTTTTCCAGGATTATAGGAGGGTTTTAAGTTTTAGACTAATCACAAATGACCACTGCCACCTTTTAAAATGGACATTTTATGCCTCCTTTTTATTCTGAGTCTCACAGTCAGGAAACTACAAGTGATCATGTTAGTTTTGTCTTGTTTACAGAAACAGAAGTACTTAAATACCACAGTTTACATACTTTGATTTTTTTTTTATGTTTTCATTGGGGACTGGTTGTGCTCACTTCTCTGTTCTTCTTTGGAAATGAAAACAACCACCAAAAAACTATTACTGACATTACAATTCCAAATGGCTTTAAAACTTCATTTGTAGTTTTTTGTTTTTTCCAGGATTATAGGAGGGTTTTAAGTTTTAGACTAATCACAAATGACCACTGCCACGTTTTAAAATGGACATTTTATGCCTCCTTTTTATTCTGAGTCTCACAGTCAGGAACCTACAAGTGATCATGTTAGTTTTGTCTTGTTTACAGAAACAGAAGTACTTAAATACCACAGTTTGCATACTTTGATTTTTTTTTTATGTTTTCATTGGGGACTGAGTATTTTTAAGCAAACTTCATGGGATTTTGAACTTCTAAAATAAATGAAGAAATTGTGAAAATATTAATTATCAAAATGGTCAAATTCTCAAATGATTAGGGTTAAGACATATTTGCCCTTGAAAAGTACTTCAAATGCCAACCTAAAAAAGAATATATATATATATATATATTTTATTTTCAAGGGCCCTAGGATTACCTGTGGCCCAATGGAAATAGAAATTATTTCTTACTATTCCAAAATAGAATGATTTGAATTGAGTTAAAACTATTGCTAAGAGCAGACTGATGTATAGATACTAGGAGAGTCAAAGAATTTAATTTTAGAGTAGAATTCTCAGGAAAAGGTGAGAAAAACAAGATGAGTAAATAGAACTGTTTTCAGGCCTTAGCAGTAATTCTCACAATAGCAAAATAGACTGTGAAGGTTAATTCTAGGTGTCAGCTTGATTAGATTAAGGAATGTCGAGAGACCTGGTAAAGCTATCTCTTTAGATGTATCTATGAGGTGTTTCCAAAAGAGATTAGCATGAGAGCCTGGGTGGACTGAGTGGGAAAGATCTCTCTTCGATATGGGCAGGAACCATCCAATCTGCTGGGGGCCTGGGGGCAAAACAAAGAAAAAAAGGAAATTTCTCTCTATTCTCTGGAGCTGGGATATATTCTTCTCTCCTGTTCATGGATATCAGCGCTCAAGACTCTTCAGCTTTTGGGTTCCAGGACTTACACAAATGGCACCATCAACTTCCCTGGTTCTGAGGCCTTTAGACTGGACTTGAGCCACGCTCAGCGTCCAGTTTGCAGATAGCCGATCACAGGGCTTCTCTTCACAATCGTATGAGTTAATTCCCCTAATATATCCCCTCTCATATATTTATAACATATCCTATTGATTCTGTCTCTCTTGAGAACCCTGTGTTTCTCTTGAACCCTTGTTTCTCTTGACCCAATTCTATTTTCCTTCTCTTTGATCCTATTGCCTTTCTGCCTATTGATGCAGCTATTACCTTTCAAGTTACGTTGCTTCATCAGGTATCTAATAAAAGTTCTCAAATAGCAATGGTAGTTTGTTTTCTCTAAACATTGACACAATTGAAACAGTCACCACTCTTATCCTGGGCTCTAGTAATTTAAAACACTAGTCAATTTATATATCCTCTTAACTTTTTCTGATGTTCCAATTTATTGTTCATAAACTCAAACTCAAAGTGATTAAATCTGACACTAGAAATAGTATAAGATTAAAAATGTTAAAAACTAATTTCGTAAAAATGTGCTCCAACAGTAAGCTATATCACTATGAAGTGCAACAGTCAGATAACTGTGCTGCTGGGGTTTTAACTTTGCAGGGCTGAATGATAAAATCCATCTAGAATGGAATCATTTGTAACAGTGTTTGGGTAAAATGCAAAAGTTTGAGATTTATATTAACATATTAATTGTGCAGGCATATAATCCCAACACTCCGTTAGACAGAGTTGATAAAAAGAGTGGCAGCAGCCCTTCTCGTTGGGTTCTGGGAAAATTAGGCCCCACTATCTTAAGACATCCATTGCATGTAATTAACTTTTCTCCTGTGTATGTAGGGTGGCACTAACTATGCATCATCCTTGGGAGAATGAGAAAAGTCTTTCAAATCATTTTCTGTAGCATTTAATTCTCTAGCAGAATCCTGATTAAGAAAGAATGGGTAACAGCATGACTGCAGAAAGGAACTTTTTTTTTCCTTTTTGTCTTTTTTCGTGTCCAGCAACAGATCGCAACCCTCAGTGTCGCACCCGTACCGGACCGGGACCGGCAACAGGATCGCAACCCTCGGTGCTGCACCCACACCTCGCTCAGCCAGTGGGCGGGAACCGGTCTGTATGTGGGATCTGAACCCTCGGCGGGAGCACCGCCGCGCTCCCAAGCGGTGCACTGTAGCAATGCGCCACCGGGCCGGCCCAGAAAGGAACTTTGATCCTTAAAGACAGTTCATCTTCATATCAATGTCTCACAAATAGACTCCCCCAGAGTCAGGGGTTTTATGAGCCAGAATAAAGTATATCTCAGCAATAACATGAAATAAATGGTGGTCTTTGGTTAATTTACAGAAAATATTAAATTTCAGACCTATGTTTACTTATTGGTTAGTGTTTCACACAGTGATACACAAATGACAAATATTAATCGAAAAACAAATAATCAAATTTCAGTTTGACAGATTATAATAGTATATGTGCATGCAAGAGGGAATAGTTTATATATTGTATACTTATAGTCATATTTTCTGATAGTGAAATCATTTTCAAGTCATATAATAAGAATAAATATATCAGTATTTCATGGTGTTACAAAAATAATGTCATGACTTATGTAGTTTATCACATAAACAGACATCAAGTAGTATCAGCTAAGCCAGGGCTACTGCACAACTTTAGGGTGCACCATTTGGTGTTACAAAAATAATGTCATGACTTATGTAGTTTATCACATAAACAGACATCAAGTAGTAACAGCTAAGCCAGGGCTGCTGCACAACTTTAGGGTGCACCATTTAAAAAGATTACACAAATGGTACCCTCTAGGGTGGTGCA